TCTATCATCTATCTATCTCTATCATCTATTATCTATCTATAGCTTTCTATCTATCATCTATCCATTTATCTCTATCATCTATCTATCTATCTATCTATCTCTATCATCTATTACCGATCATCTATTTAGCTCTATCATCTATCTATTTATCTCTATCATCTATCTATCTCTATCATCTATCTATCTATCTATCTATCTATCTATCTATCTCTATAATCTATTATCTATTATCTGTTTATCTCTATCATCTATCTCATCTATCTCTCTCTATCCTCTATCTCTCTATCTATTATCTATCTAATCTATCTAATCTATCTATCTATCTATCTCATCTATCTATCATCTATTATCTATCTATCTATCTATCTATCTATCTATCTATCTATCTATAATCTCTCTATCATCTAGTATCTCTTTCTATCTATCATCTATATATATTATGGTTGTTATTTTGTGCCATTAAGTTGACTACAACTCCCAGCAACCCCATGAAGAACAGCTTTGAACCTTACCCTGTCCTGAGTCAACTTCAGTGTCTCTGACACACTCAAACCCATCGTCACAGTCATTGTGTCAATATAGCTTGTTAAGGGTCTTCCTCTCTTGCTCTGACCTTCTACCCTTCCTAGCATGATGGCCTTCTCTGAGGATTGGAACCTACTCATTACATGGCCAAAGTATGTGAGACAGAGCTTCAAAACACTTACCTTCATGGAGCAATCTGGTTTCACCCTCTCCAAAACAGACCTGTTTGTTCTCTTGGCCGTCCACAGTATATTCAAGACTCTTCTCTAGCACCCCAGCTCCAAGACATTGACTCTTCTGACATCTTTAGTGATTGTCCAGCTCTCAGATGCTTAGCAAGCAGTTGAGAAGACTGTGGCTCGGATCAAGGTGCACTTTAGTCTCTAGACTGACATTTTTGCTCTTTAGCTCTCTGGAGAAGTTCTTGACAGTAGATTTTCCCAGTGCAACTTGTCTTTTAATTTCCTGACTGCTGATGCCAAGACTGTTTGTTGATTATAAATCCAAGCAAGATGAAATTGCTTACAACCTCAATCTTTTCTTTCTCTATCATGATGCTGCCTGTTGGTCCAGTGGTGAGAATTTTTGTCTTCTTGAAGTTCAGATGCAATCCATATTGAAGGCTGCAGTCCTTAATCTTCAGCAGCAAACACCTCATGTTCTCCGCAATTTCGGTGAGCAAAGTTTTATCATCTACATAGCGCAGGTTGTTGATGAGTCTTTCTCCAATCCTGATGCTACCACATTTCTCTCCATAAAGTCCAGCCTCTTAAATTATCTGTTCAGCATATAGATTGGAAAGGTATGGGGAAAGGACACATCCCTAACACACTCCCTTCTTGATTTTGAACCATACACTGTTCCCTCACTCTGTTTGGGCAACAGCTTCATGGTGCTGGTGTAGGTTTTGCTTGAGCGTGATCAAGTGTTCTAGGATTCCTAGTCTTCTCAATGTAAGACACAACTTATTATGTTCCACACATTTACGTAGTTGAGAAAACACAAATAAACATTCCTTTAGTACTCTCTGCTTTCAGTCAAGATCCAGCTGAAATCAGCAATGATATCCCACGGCCTCTTCTAAACACAGCTTGCATTTCTGGAAGTTTTTGTTGTTGTGCTGTTTTAGTTATTTCTGGATAATCTTCAGCAAGATTTTGCTTGCAATGTTGTTGGATAATTTCCACATTCTGTTGGATCACCTTTCTTGGAAATGGAACAAATATGGATCTTTTCCAGTCAGTTGGCCTGGCAGCTGTCTTCCAAATTTCCTGGCACACAGACTGGTAAGCATGTGCAGGGCTGCATCTGTTAGTTAAAACACTTCAACTGGTATTTCTCATAGTCAATGAAACACAAGTAAACATCTTTCTGGTAAGAGAAAATACGGTGAGTTCCAAAGCTTTGTTGTTGTTGTTGTTCCTGGTGAACATTTCTCTGATGGCTTTATGACAAGGAGTCACACTCCCAGCTGCTTTTGGGGAGAATGACAAGCAAACTCCCTCTTTGTGATTGACAGCCTCTGAAAACATGCAGAGCTCTGGTCAGCTGTGAGTCATTTCTCACTTGATGGTCTAGATGAGGTGGTTCAGGTCAAGGAGATGAATGGAACACTCCAGGAAGGACACCGATGTCTCTGCCCCACAGCGGCATTAGCCCAGAAGCAGGGCCCTTGGGCTTTCCTGACATTGGCCTTGATGGGCTCCATGGCGGCCTTCTGAGATGATCCCACCCTCTAGCTCTGGGGAACGGTAGTCTTCGTTTCTTCCCAGCAAAGAACAGGTGTGAATAAAACCAGATCAAATCTTCAGAAGAGAGCAAGCAAAAATCTGGGTGGAAAAGGAAGCAAGGAAGCAAAAGGAGGAGTTTAAACAATAAAATATCAGGCCCACAAAACAACTATGAGATATAATCTCACCCCAGAATAGCAAAATTTAACAGAACAGCAAGCAACAAATGCTGGCGAGGTTGTGGAGAAACTGGAACCCTTATTCACTGTTAGGGGCAGTGTAAAATGGTCCAACCACTGTGAAAGGTGGTATGGCACTTTCTCAAAAAGTTGCAAATAGAGATACCGCTTGACCCAGCAATTCCACTACTGGGAATTTACCCCAAAGAAACCAACCATAACTGCCACCCAAGCAGATATATGCACACCCATGTTTATTGCAGCTTTGTTCACAATAACAAAGAGCTGGAAACAATGCAAGTACCCACCAACAAATGAATGGATAGAGAAGCTGTTGTATAATCACACAATGGAATACTATGCAGCATTGAAAAACAAGGAATTCATGAAATATTATTCAAAATGGGTGATCCTGGGGGACATTATGCTGAGGGAAATATCTCAGTCACAAGAGGACAAATATTGCATAGGGCCACTGTTGTAAAATGAGACTGACATCAGGGTTGAGGGAAAGACAGAGAAGGAGAGGAGGAATGATGTATACTGCATTGAAACAGATGCGGGAGAGAACTGTTTAAAAGGAATATATGATTGGGTATTATTGTCATGACAGGAGTTCAGAATGAAGTCTGCACAGTGGAGTGGACTTGGAGGGAGGGATTGTATAACAATGAAAGAATTTTTCTTTTTCTCTTCAAGGAGAAAAGCGACTTGAGGGAAGGGGTGGGCAGGGAGAAAAGAGCAACAATGAATGACTAGAAATCCTAAGTCTCTGTAAACTTTCATTAAAATGAATAAATAAATTTAAAAAAATCAGGCCCAATAAATATATCTTATACTTAATAAATAAACTTCAAATAGCTTAAAAAAAACCAAAACACAAAAAACCTCCCACAACCCTACGAACAGTCGAGGAACGCCGATAGTCTAGCAAGTATGAAATAACAATCTGACCACCAGATGCTCCTCCGGAGAAGGAAGGTCACCCTCCTCTTGTGCCAGTCGGATCCGATTCGATGGTACACAACAAGAAAAGGGAAAAAAAAGAGAAAGAAGAAGTTTGAAATGTTGTGTGGTTGTTTTTAGGTGCTGTCGAGTTGACCACAGCTCATCGTGACCCTGTGGACAACAGCTCTGAGCCCTGTCCTGTGCCGTCCTCTCACCTCTGACACACCCGAGCACATGGCTGCAGTCACTCACTGGGTCAACCATTTTGGCCCATCTTTTCGAGAGTCTTCCTCTCTTTCGTTGCCTCTCTGCCTCTCCAAGCATAATGGGTTTTGGGTTTTTGTTTTGTTTTTACAAGGACTGGCCCCTCTTAACAATATA